GTTTGTTATTTGCTATTTTGGTTCTCTGTCCAAAGGACTTCCTTTAGCATCTCTTGTAAGGTTGGTCTGGTTTTAAAAAATTTCTTTAGTTTCTGCTTATCTGCAAATCTCCTAATTTCACCATCATATTTGAAGGAAAATTTTGCCGGGTATATAATTCAGCTCTGGTAGCGTAGTGCCTAAGGCACTTGACTGCTAACCAGAAGGCTGGCAGTTCAAATCCAGCAGCCACTCCTCAGAAGAAAGATGGGGCAATCTACTTCCATAGTGATGCTGCCTCAGAAACCCAAGGTGGGGTTGCTATGAGCCGGGTCTGATTCAATGGCACATAACAACAACAACAACAACGTATAATTCTTTGTTGAAAATTTTTCTCTTTCAGGATTTTATATATACCATCCCATTGCCTTCTCGCTTGCATGGTTTCTGCTGAGAAATCAGAGCTTATTCTTTCTGGCTATCCTTTGTAAGTAACTTTTTGTTTTTCATATGCTGCTTTCAGGATTCTGTCTTTTGGTTTTGGTGAGTTTGATGATGATATGTCTTGGTGATTTTCTTTTGGAGTCTATCCTGGTTGGGGTTCATTGGACTTCCTGAATGGATATATTCTCATCTTTCATCATATCAGGGAAGTTCTCCTCCAGAAAATCTTGGACAAGTTTCTCAGTGCTATTATTTTTCTCTTCCTCTTCTGGAATTCCAGTGACACCTATGTTATTCCTTCTGATGGTATCCTACATGAATGTTAAGCTTTCTTCATTTTGTTCTGATTTTTTTTCTGGTTGATCCCTTTCCAAAGAAGTATTCAGGTATTTGTTTTTAGTCTCATTAATTCTATCTTCCACTGCATCAGTTCTTCTCCTTTACCCCTCCAATATGTTATAAATTTCTGACAATTTAGTATTAATCTTCTGGATTTCTATTTGTAGATTTAGAATCATTTCTAATTTTTATTTATTTTGTCATTTTCTTCTTGTATTTTCTTCCAAAATTCTTCTAGGGTTTTTTCTGTGTTTTCTTTAGTCTGTCTCTCAATCCTTTGAAGATACCTAAATATCATTCTTTAGAATTCTTTATCAGAGAGTTCCAATGCTGCTTCTTCCTCAGGGATGTGTTCTGGATCTGTATCCTGTTCTCTTGATTCTACCACTTAATCTTGCTTTTTAGGTGGACTGTGATGGTCTGTTGTCTTCGAGACATCATGGCATTATTTTATTAAGATCTCTGTTAACTGCTTGTGAAGAGCAGCCAAGTGTGATTCAGGCTCTTCTTGGTGGTTTTTTATTGTTGGCTCATTGATGGAGAAGGAGGTGGTGGCTCTAGTGAAGTTGCAGGAGGTGTGGGTGTAGTTGTGTCTTAAGGAGACTGTTGCTGTCTCTCACTCAATTAGACAAAAATTACAACTGAATAACCATCAAAAAACTAAAAGCACATGAACAAAAAATACACCATGTAATCACACAGGAACAGTAATCAAAAAGGGAAAAATAAGAAGAAAAAAACAAGAAAACCTACAATACCTGGGTATAGGGCAATAAGAGAAAAAAGGTAGAGAAGGAATGAAGAAAAAAATGGGAAAAATGCAAAAAGAAAAACAAGGAATAGGGTTAACCATGAGAAAAAAAAGAAAAAAGAAAACAAAATTGCAACCATGTACAGAGAAAAGAAAAAGAGCTGAAAATAGGACCTAGGAGGAGAAGAATAAAGAATAATAGTAAAAAGGACAAATGTATTTATAATAATAGTAGTTGTAAAACAGACAAAACAAGCAAACTAAAACCAGAAAATAGAAAGAGAAAAAAAAAAAAAAAAAGAAAAGAAAAAGAAAAAATTTGGGGAGGGTAGGGCAGGACACCCAGGCTCCGCCTGAGCACACAGACTGGGATGGGGTTCCTGTGGGCCCAGAAGGTGGGTGGGAGTGAGGGGTAGCCGCACCTCTGTTCACCAAGGGGTGTGGGGTATAAGAGTAACAAGGGGAGTGTCGCACCTTTTCAGTTGTCCAGGTCTGGAGTGTCCTTGGGGCTACTGGCAAGCAGAACCTGTTCTTAAGCCCCTGGAATTTGGGAGAGTGCTGTCTCTTTAAATATCCAAAATGGCCAAGCCAGTTGTAAACATTCAAAATGGCAGCGCCCACTGGACAGGCAAGAGTCCACAGCTCAGCCCGCCTTTCTCTTCGCTGGTGCTTCGTGTTTTATTCCCCAGCCACCAGAGCAGTCCTCTGTGAAGTCCCTGGCTAGCAGGGCTGATTTTTAGGTTAATTCTTAGGTCCTACCACCCCTCAGGAATCTCCAAGCTGTCTGTGTCATGTCGTCAGGCTTGCTCAGGATCGCTGCCAGACCACAGCTCCATGTATCTCTTTTTTTGGTATTTTCATGCAAATTCTTCTGCTAGTTGGTGTTTAGTCCACTTCTATATCTTTCCCTTCAAGGCTCAGGGGTCCAGGATTATCCTCTCTGTCTGTGTTAATTGGTTCCCCTTTTCTTTATTGAAGAGGGTCTGTGCAGTCTTTCTCCCTATTTCACCATCTTCGGGACATCCCCATATAGATACTTCTTAAAAAAGCATTATGCTCAAGGCAGACAGTTTTTACTAGTTAAGCTAAACTATTGTTTGGTTTTAAGAAAACTTTAGGGAATATTTTTGGTTTAAGGTTTAAAGACTTCTCAGGGCAATAGTTTCAGGGATTCATCCAATCTTCATGTCTCCAGAAAGTCTGGAACCAGAAGAATTTGAAATTCTGTTCTGCATATTCCCCTTTTGATCAGGATTCTTCTATGGCATCTTTGATCAAAATGTTCAGTGATGGTAGCCAGTTCCTCTGGTCTCATGGCAAAGGAGGGAGTTATTCATAGAGTCAATTAACTACACATGCCATATCCTCCTTCCATTCCTGATGCTCCTTCTTTCTCTGTTGCTCCAGGTGAACAGTTGTGCCTTAGATGGCTGCTTGCAAGACTTTAAGATCTCAGGCACTACACAATTAATTAAGAAGTTGAACGGAAGTACCAAACATGTTATTAGGCCAACTAACTCAGCTATCCCATGAAACCATGACCCTAGACCTCCAAATCAAGAGACTAAATCCCATGAGGTTTTTGGTTGTACATAAACAGACTCAGCAGCTACTTTTTTTTTTTTTTTGTCATTGTTGTAAATATGTCTATTACATAACATATGCTAGTCTAACTTTTTTACAGGTATACCACTTATTGACAGCCATTACAATAATCAATTGTGCAACCATACCCTTAATCAGTATGATATTTCCTTCACCGGTAGTCTCCCATTTTCCCCCTCTTTCTTGCCCCTGGTAACCAGTAATAAACTTTGGTCTCTATACATTTGCCTTTCTTATCTTTTTATATAAGTGAGGTCATACAATAATTGTCCTTTTGTAATTCACTTAGGATAATGTCTTCCAGCTCCATCTATATTGTAGCATGTATCAGGATTTCATTTAGGTCTGATAGCGTAGTACCTAAGGCACTTGACTGCTAACCAGAAGGTTGGTGGTTCAAACACACCAGCCACTCCTTGGAAAGAAGATGGGGCAATCTACTTCCATAGTGATACTGCCTCGGAAACCCAAGGAGAGGTCGCTATGAGTCAGGTCTGACTTGACGGCACATAACAGCAACATAACAACATACCACATTTAGTTTATCAATTCATCTACAATGGGCATTATTTTGGTTCTTTAGTGCCACTCTTACAGAAAACACCACAAATAGATGGCTTTAACAAACAAGGATTTATTTTCTTACAGTTTAGGAGGCTAGAAATCTGAGTTCAAAGTGCCAGCTCTAGGGGCTGGGTGAAGGTCCCTTGATCCTGGGCTTCAGCTCTGCTTCTTGCTCCTGGTACTGGAGCTGGAGGCTTCTCTTAACTCAGGCAGATGCTGGCTGCTGAGGTTGACATATCCAAGGTCGACATGTAAAATGGCACAGTCCCAAGGTTATTAAGCAACACAGCAGGCCACTAGTTCAAGTCCAGAAACAGTCTCAAGATCAACAGACAACATGGCAGGCTACTGAGATGCAGACTCAGCCAAATACGGGATCCAGAGGTGCCAAAAGGTAGAGACCTCCCTCAAAACTGCTTCTTATCTACTGCAAGTAGACCACATTGCTAAGGTAGCTACTCAGCTGCTCACAGTAGATGAGTTGATTACCAGTCTCATCATGGGAATCACTACATTCAGCTGCTCAGCCACTCAAAACCAGGCCCAGCCAAGTTGACACATAACCTTAACTACCACAGGCATTTAAATTGTTCCCACCTTTTGGATATCATGAATAATGCTGAAATGAACACTGGTGTCCAAGTCTCTGTTTGAGTCTCTGCTTTCAAGTCTTTTGGGTATATACCTGGAAGTAGAATTGCTTCCACAGAAGAAGGACTGGGTAATCTACTTCTGTAAAGATTTACCACCTCGGAAACCCAACATTTCCACCAGCTATGGGTAAGGGTTTCAATTTCCCCACATCCTTACCAACATTTGTTATATTTTTATTTTTTAATCTTAGCCATCCTGGTGGGACACTCACAGATGTTTATGTGTAATGTTTCCAACCCTCAATGACAAATAAAGATTGGATTTATAATAAAAATAGTGATTGAAAAAGCAATAATAATGAATTAAGAAAAAAAAAAAAAAAGAAAGAAAGAATGGTATGAATGAGGTATGAGGTACTTGACTGACATCAGAAGCAACTTACAATGGAGTTGCCAGAATAGAACCCTGTCCTTTGTAGGGGAGTTCCTGTACTGCTGTACTATGTTGTCAGTGGTACCTAACTTTCCCAAACTGGAAATATTCTTAATATAAAAAACTATTTATTCTTCCTCTTTCATTTGAGATGATCATTTACTTAAAAAAAATTACCATTAACAGAGATTTTTTATCAAAACCTTTGATTTTTTTTTCTCTGTTTCTAGTTATGCATTTAAAAAGGAACTAGCAACATTTCCAATGATGCAGTTCAAATTGTTGGCCCTACCTGCTCCACCTCATTGGCAGTGTGCTGCATTGCTTCATTATGCTGTTCTTCCAACATCTCCAAGTTTAACTCCTCTAAGAATTCATTCCTTTCATCTTCCAGCCAGGCTTCATCCAGCTGAAAAAGAATACATTAGTACATTATATTATGTTAGTGAGAACTCATGCTAAAATAGAGTAAACTTAAATGGTGATGCCTGACCAGTTCCTTTTATCATAATGATTCTCTTCAGAATCCCAGCCTCCCGTAGCTCACCTCTTAGAAAGAAGAAAAGGTGATAAAAAAAAAAAAAAGACTTTTATGCCTTTTATCCTTTCCTGAAACAGAGCTACAAATTTTCTCTCATAACTGAGTAAATCTCACAGCATAGGACATTACCTTCTTTGAAAATGTATGAAAAGCCTACTGCATGATCCACAGCTGTCACGCTCATTATCTCCCACAGTCCCCATGCTAAAAGAACTGCAATAGTACTAATAGGGCTATGAGACAATTGGTTTTTTGGTTTTTTTTTTCCCTTAACAACAACCCCCAAAGAAACTACACACAAAGTGCCCCTGTACTCTGATACTCCTGCTTTTGTATTTCTAGGCAGATGGCTCCAAAGTTAACAAGATGGCTGCTTTCCACAAGCATCTACAGAGTACTTTATCTAAAAAAGGAAAATACTAAGTTATTATTCTTGAAAAAAAAAAACGAGCAGGATATGCTATGCTATATCTATTTTGATTCATTTTTCAGGGCCAATTCCATGGAAAATTGATAGAGCAGATGTGGTGGTTAAAGGTGGTGAAGCTGTGTCTATAGCATGCAGGGTTTTGTTTATGGGTACTGAATACAAGTATTATAGTGGAAGTCTTACACAAATTAAACTGAACAAATCCCTTTGGCTTCTTAATACAATGTGAAGAAGAAAACTGGTGGTTACCTTGCTAATATGATCAGTGTTGACAGTCAATATAGATAATTTGCCTCAAAGTAGATTTTTGTAGCTGGGTGACATAAATTGGCTGTGTATGATGATTAAATTAACTGGATTATTGTCAAAATTCTGCTTTACTCTGCTACAAAGAAACGGCAGCTTCTGGGGAGCCAAAATTGACTGTAATTTGTTTTTACCACCAAACAAACTTGCAAAATAAGCTTTTAAAAATAACTGGATTTTTAAAACTTAAAAACAAACAAATACAAAAGAAGGGTATTCAATTGTACTTGAACAAGCATTAGCATAAATATATTCATTAATATAAAGGCAAATCATAGCTTTCTTGATAACTAATCCAGGCCATCTAGAACTTAAATTATCTCAAAACCATCTGGGGCCAAAAACATGGACACATTTATTCACACTCATTTATCTTAATGTGGTCTGAAAAACTGGACTTGGTTCCACCCCACTGACTTTGATATGCAAATGAGCTATGCTAATTAAGCTGAATAAAAATTTAAATTCAGTCCAATTTATAATTGTCCACATTTTACATTCTTTAATCCTTTTTAAGTTTCTTGAAGCTACAAATGATAAATTCCAAAATAAATTATTTAAAGCTGGAAATGTTTACTTTTCATAAATACATCAAGGACTTTTTCTTTAATTAGGTCAGAACAAAATATCTCCTAGCTGTGATACAGTGAATGATGGAACAGAGTCTTTTGAGGTCTAAATGAATGGGGAAATTAATGATTCTCTATAACTCTTTTCTTATTGACTAACTCCACAGACCCCTGAGGTGTCATCTGTAGTCAGTCTATAAGTATTGTGATCAGGCTTTCCTCTAGGTGGGCAATGTATAAGCACAGTGAGGAAGGGAGATTCTTCTTGCTCACTTCCTTCCCCTTTCCACCAAGAGGTACATGCATGGCAGTCTGAGTCTAATGCTGTGGCAGGGATAGACTTGAGCTGAGTTTCAGGAAAGAGAGGACTGTCATTATTATATAGGAGAATCTGTCTTTACCCAAGTGGACTGCACATGACATTTCAGAGAAAAGAACAACCTACACTACCATCTCAAAGTCAGTGACAAGTTCTTATGATAGCTCTCCCTGTCCCAATGGCCCAAGGGGAATGGAACAGAATAGCAATATCTTTAATGGTCTAAGGAAGAAAATGGGCAGAAAATGAAAGAAAGTTGACAGGGAATGAGAGGAATGAGTTATTTAAAAATATTGCACAGATGCACAATACTGCCCCCAGCAACTCTGTAGATCATTCTCAAGAAACTAAAGGATATTGGAAACAAAAAAGGCTAGAAAGAGCACACAAAAAGCATCCATATTCTCCCTGATAAAAGATACAAGTAAAAAAAATAAAATAAAATAAAAATGCAATAATGAGTTAGGTTGAATTTAATATAAAATACAGGTGTTATAAAAACAAGATGTTATTTTATTTTTCATAATTTTTTCACCACTTTATAGAACATACTGCTTAAATTAAAATTTTAAAGTATGATGTTAAAATGCATTTTCTTTCCTGGTTTCTCTAGAAATTTGATTTTCTAAAGGCAATGACATGAAGGATTCAGGGACACAGGGCTAATACAGATCCTTATTCTGACAGACAGGTTGGCATCCTATGGAGACAGATAAGCATCTTTTATCAACTACAAAAGAAAAAAAAAAGCCCGGTTTAAAAGTTCATCCTTGAACTTTACCTCTTTTTTGGGAAAAAGTCAGGAATGTAGCCAGATATTCAAAAATGCCACTAGCTCCACCAAACATCTGTATTCCATCAAAGATTAACAGGATCTGGTCTTATGCCATTAATTTCTATTCTTTCCACAGTCCATTATAGCCTTTATGTGGTATAATTTAAGGAAATACTTTTATTCTTAATTAATGAGGTTGTCTAGCAGTTACATGGAAAGGGCAGAGAAACCACACTATATCATTAAAATGTTTCCTACAACAGAGATGACTACTGTGCTGCATCCTGAGTTCTCTTCAATTTACCATGAATTTCACTAATATGTATTTAGTCCCATTACTAAGTTCTTTTTTTCAAGAAGATGGTATCAGTGAGATTAATCTGAGAGATTTCCAGATAATTAAAGCAATTTCATGTGTATTTTAAAATGTCAATCCCACATAAGCATCCCAGCCAGTTGTGTAAGTTCTCCTTCCCCACCCCTAAGACCTCAGGTGTGTAACTTTACTGTGCCCCAGGCTACAGCAGACTTTATGGGAATCATTTAGAATGGTCAAGGACATAAAGGAAATATATGCGGAAACGGTGATCTTTTATAACCACTATATTCAAGTCTGGATTCAGTCTGACACTGAAATACACTTACTCAATGTAATTTATAGATAATATGTAGTTACTGAGTTTGAAAAATACCAGATCAATAACCTTGGAGACAAATGGCGATATAACCAACTTCACTCAAACTCCTGACAGATGGCTAGAATGGTGACAGTATTATGTCCTTTCTGTACTGTGGTGGGGAATAAAAAGATATAAATGGAAGTACCAATAGTACTTTCCTCCCACCATTACCTCTACTTTACTTTCATGACATCTCCCTCTGTAAAGATATCAAAAAATTCCGTTAGAAGCTATCAGTTTGTTTTGGCCAGACAGGATGTCTGTGTTACACTAAATCTGGAAAAAAAAAAAATCAATTATACATGGAACCACACCATGCTTCATAAGACACTTTACTTGATAGAGTTACCCAAAAAAGATTTAAGTTGAAAAGTAGATATGCTAATGAATGTTTCTGTCATGAGAGATTCTTTCAAGATACCTCAACATGCCAATTAAGTATTTTTAGATGGAAATCAAATGGAAAGACTCATATAGAATTAAACATCACGGAAAGTCAACCATTTTTCACTTGTGAATTCATTTATATAACTGGTAAGGGGAAGGACGGTGGGATAAGATTTTTGTGTGCTTTTGAAAAAATAAGATGTTGAGCTCTCATTCTGTGGAGCAATACATGAGAGATTTTAACTCATAATCTTTTTGATGAGGTTAGTAAATTAGGAAGACTAGTAGTAGTATATTTTGTATACTTGGTTCTATAAGTATCTATGGTACTGATTTGATATAGAATAGCAGATAATGAATGTAAAGTCCAGTCTCAAGACTTCCTCTAGGTTCTGACCTGAATCTCTGGCCTTGCGACAAGCAGCACGATTCTCTTGCACTCATCGCTAGAGAGCAATGCCACGGCTTCTTCTCGATTTTGGACATCTTCACCATTTATCTAGAAAACAAATGAAAGTGGCACATTAGTTTCCATTTCCACAATGCTGCACACAATAAATGGCAAATATCAGCTCATTTATGGTAAATGTATGGACAATGAAACTCACACAATGGGCTCATCTTCAGCCCTTCAGTGGTAAGTGCCTTCACTCAATTACGTGCTTACTGTAAGAGCCATATTGATCCCTGAAGGATGGCGGACATCAGAGGAAGCAGTTATGTTCATAAATGTCCAACCTGTGCCCTGGCAACATACATCTAGCAACACAATTAACCAGCCCCTGACAGGTGACGTTCATCTTTCTCCGCTCAGAGTAATGGAAGTGTCACTCTGAGATAATAGTGCTGGGGGAAGCAGGACTGGCAATACCATAACTGAAATCTGTCTTCCTGTGTGCTTGCTGCGAGCCAATTAGAGAGCTGCAGCATTATCTCTCACCAAGCAATCCTGCTAGGCCACTGCCGACTGTGATTCATTTAATCATTTCATATTTGTGTGTGGGTCTGACTCAGTTCCCCAAACATCACTCTCAGGGTGTCTTTCGTTGCTTAGCTAATCAAAAGAACTTCAGCTCATCAGCAATACCCTCATTAACATGACAATTCCTTTCTAAGATTTATCCTTCTCCCCAAACAATATCTTTTTTTTTTTTTTTAACTTTCCCTTGTGTTTTGGGTGAAAGTTTACAGAGCAAATTCATTTTCCATTCAATAGTTCATACAAAAAATATGGAATGGTTTATGTTTTAAGGTATGCAGGGGCTAGGCTAATCACCTCTGTATTATTCCACTTTTTATTAAATGTGCCACCAAAGCAAGCACCCAAACATCAATATCTTAAGGAGCATCTTTTAAACACATTTAATTTTTTTTTTTTTGTAAATTAAGGTAGAGTAATATTGACTTTAAAAAGATAATGCTAAGTGAAAGAAGCCAGGTTTGAGCATACTGAAAAGTTACCTTTGGCATTTGAAATATACCTTTTTTTCCTTTTTCTAAGTTCTAAGGACAAAGTAGGTAGGATTTCTAAAGTTTATAAGTTAAACTACATTTTCATGTTCAAATGTATTCAACTTTTAGTTCCCATTTTTTTCCTTTGGATATTTAAAAATAATTTTGTTTTCTGGATTTCTCAAATACATAAATAAAGCCAGTGAGCTTTTTGATCCATAACACAGAACCAACAAACGTGGAAGGAAATTTCAACTGAAGAAGTTATTCTGTCTGAAATAAATATTAATTACTTCGATAAACTAAACAGATGGAAAATGTGTTTAAATAATTTTTAAATAATTGATCTAATGCCTTTCATAGGTGCTCTGGTAGCATAGTGCCTAAGACACCTGACCAGAAGGCTGGCGGTTCAAACCCACCAGCCACTCCTCGAAAGGAAGGTTGGGCAGTCTACTTCCACAGTGATACCGTTTCGGAAAACCAAGGAGGGGTCACTATGAGTTGGGTCTGACTTGACCTCACATAACAACAACAACAACAAGAACAATGCCTTTCATTATGGTTTTTTACTTAGAAGTATGAAGTAAACTACTGAGGCTTTCTCCTTGTGGTTCTCGGGGATTGTGGCTGATAAGTGAGGACAAACATAATAATCTGAAAACAAGCCCCAAATTCTCAGCTTTAGACCAAGGATCATTATTTCTAGACTTTCATCACATACTTAGCAAGAGAAAGTCAAACTAGGAGGAAAAAACCCCACAAATACAGCTTGTCTTTTGTTGGTTGATTAAAAAAATATATAGCTTTAGTTTCTCACTTGTATGTTAGACAGGAAATTCTATTTTTACATATTTCATGCACATTTCTTTTTTGCAATTCACAAATAAAATTCATATTAGAAAATGAAAGCCATGATTCTAAAATGGAGAACAATGATTGGAAAGGATATGTGGTATTTGTTCACAAATATATGTGTGAAAAGCTGTGTAAGTCCTGACTTCAAGGCCTTTTTTTTCCTCAAATAAAGATAAATTGCTGGTCATGGATTCCACTACACCTCCCCCACCCCAATTAAATGTAGTTTAAAATAATGACTTGTCAATTTTTACTTTCTTTGAGCTTTGAGAGTTTATGCCCTTCCCATAGTAATTCTTTGTAGTATATCTGCAATTCATCTATTTGTCCATTAATCATGAACCTAATAGTCCATCTTCTTCCTCTATAATAGGTACAGCTCATCCTGAGGGAACTAACTTCAGTGTTGTCACACAGCTTTTCTTCATTTCTTCTATGTTTGAAAGATAATTCTCATATATTTTTTTTTTCCTTTGGTCTCCATGCATATGCATACATCACCATTGTTTCCTCATCTAAATTTTACCTACCATTAATCTAAATACCCCTTCCTCATTCATGTTAGTCTCGTGTTACTATATTATGTTCTCTATATTTTCCACGCACATGTATCCACATTAGTGTGAATGTCTTAGATGAAAAGCTTCCAAAGGACACTGGCTAATTTCATGCAGCTCTATTTGCATGACATGATTCTTAGTACTGAACAGGAGGTAGGTGAACTTCTCTGCATTTACCACTATAAGCCTTTCAGCTCCAAATCGAGACAACTGAAACCAAAGGTCATATATGGGCAGAGAGACAATTAGAACCCAAAACAGATTATATATGAAATATTACATAATTTTTATACATTAATTTAATATCAACTAATAAATTAATAGTGAGTTTTTGCTTACTGTGTCTGTTTTATTATAACTAATCCTACCAATCTTTCTCTTTATGAGAGATTTGTACCCTGGGTAGTACAAATGGTTAATAAACTCAGCTGCTAACAGAAAGGTTGGAGGTTCGAGGTGACCCAGGGGCAGCTCAGAAGAAAGGTGTGATGACTACTTTCAAAAAAATCGGCCACTGTAAACCCTAGGGAGCACAGCTCTATAGTGTCGCATGTGGGATCGCCATTAGTTGGAATCAACTTGAAGGCAATCGTTACTGGTTTCTCTCTTTATAGAATTGCACAGTGCTCAAGAGTATAACCAAGAAGCCACAATGCCTGGGTTCAAGTTGCATTTCCTCAGCTTACTAGTTGGGTGATCTTAGGCACGTTACTTATATCTCTCTGTACATCAATTTCTTTGCCTGTAAAATGCAGAAATTATAGAACCTTTTTCAGAAGGTTATTGTAAGGATTAAAATGAGTTAATATATGTAAAGGACTTACATAAGTACCTGGTCCATAGAAAGTGCTCAGTGTTGGCACATATTACACAGATTACTGTTGATGCTATTGTTGTTATTATCACTATTTTCATCCTCAGTCAAGGAAAGATATATTTCTGCTAAGTAGAATAAATATATTAAAATTCAAGTATAATAATTAAATCCATAGTGGTAAACACATTCTATTTAAAAAGATATCTATCTCACACGTATTCTCTAATTCTTAGAGGCCACCAGGAAACAATACAGTCGTGTTTACTTTTCAGTCCCTTTATGGTTGTTATTCATGCCTCTCATCTGTGAACTCATAATGACTAGAGCTATTATCTCCTGTCCTGGCAATAAGTCCTTCTTTTAGGAGGACAATTCCTATGTTGCAGAAACACTTTTACATTCTGAACCATACATGGAATGAAATGAAGCTGCTGCTGAAATCTGGAGTTAAAATGTAGCTTATTGTTTCTTTTTCAAAATAAGCTTCACTTTACTCTGCAGGTTGGTACATCCTATTGTACTCAGGACATTGGTTTGATACCCAAACTGATAAAGGGGTAAGAAATCCAGCCATGGGTTTCAGCAAAGATGCCTCCCAAGGAAATGAAAAGATTGGAGGAATAGAATCAGATAGAGCTTTCAACATTCTGTTGCTCTAGTTGCTGAATTAATAATGACTTATAGCTACAGAGTTGCTAATGGGAAAGCAACTTCTTGTGCCTGGAGAACACAAGGAGAAGGATCCACCCACATAGGAAGGAGACAGTTGAGTAGTTGTGTCTCCACAACTTAACAGAAGGCCTTCCATCTGATAAAAGGGAAGGAAAGAGAGCCAGGAGAAAGACAACATGTAATTTATGATAAATATAAATAAAACTTTTGCTAGATAATATTGTTTCATTTTCTATACATAACATGTAAAGAGTAGTTTAAAAATGGTTACTGCCTTGCTTTGAAGAGATTTGTGATAATTATCTCAATTATCACAAATAAATCAATAAAATCTCACTTTGGGCTCAATCTCCTTTGTGCGTGTGAATTTATAAAAAATCTCCAAAAGCCTAGAAGTTCAACATAGCCTTTTTTTCCCCCTAAATACAGTATACCAATTTTTAGTTTTCCAATATAGGTAGAGCAGAGGCAGGTCCACAAGTATAATTCATGAAGTATAACCATCTATGGAATTTCTTATGAAAACCCAAATCTTTGGCAAAAGAGAAAAATTTATTTCAAATCTGTTTATATTTATTGTAGCGAGAAAGAATGGAATGGAAAGACACAGAGAGAGAACTGGTAAGAACAGAAACAGGAGGAAAATAGATATGAAAAAGGAAAAAAAGGCCAGGAAGAAATTCTGAGGACCAGTTCATATGTAGGAAAGAGAAAGGAAGAGAGAGCTATTAGAAGTCTTATTGTTTCATTATTTTAGTTCTTACAGGGTTTGGCAGAGAGCAATCCTTAGGAGAAACTCTGGTGATGTAATGGTTAAAGCATCCAGCTGCTAACCAAAAGGTTGGTGGTTCGAACCCAGCACCTGTTCCACGGAGGAAAGATGAAGCAGTCTGCTTCCTTAAAGGTTTACAGCCTTGGAAATCCCATGGGGCTGTTCTACTCTGTCCAAAAAGGTCTTTGTGAGTTGGAATCAACTTGGTGGCAGTGGGTTTTGGTTTAAGCCTTAGGAGGAGTCCTGGGTGGTACAAGTAGTAAACATCCTTGGCTAACTGAAAGGTGAGAAGTTCAATGCTACCCAGACACATGTTGGAAGAAACCCCCTAGTGATCTTTCCCTGTATCAGTCATTGAAAACCCTACA